CTCAATTTGATCCCCCTATTACATAAACATATAATATGATGGATCAAATCAAAATCTTAAATCATAAATGAATTTTTTTAAATAAATAAGTAAATTAAAACACCTGACGATCAATGAAAATCAACAAAACGCAAGGATCTGCAAATATTTCCATCCGACGAAAAATAGTTTTAAGTTCCAATTTCAGAATCCATGAAGTATTCTTACAAGATAAATCAATATCTCTAATGAACTCAAAGATTAACATGTTAAATATCTCTAATGAACTGAAAGATTAACATGCTACATATATAGAATCAAAGATTTATGGGAAACTGATATCTTTATTGTTTCGCGTGTAAAACTCATATCACGAAGCAAAACTTGTCGTGTTAATAATACAAAATAATGAAATTAATGACAGCGAAGTAAAACGCGTCGCTGTTGATAATATAAAATAATGAAATTAATGACATCGAAGTAAAACGCATCGCTGTTGAATATAGAAAATAATGAACTTAATGACAGCGAAGTAAAACGCATTGCTGTTGATAATAGAAAATAATGATATTAATGCCAGCGAAGTAAAACGCATCGGTGTTGAATATAGAAAATAACGAAAATAATGTCAGCGAAGTAAAACGCATCCACAACGAAGTTAAACGCATCGCTGTTAAAGATTGAAAAATATCTAACTGGAATATGTGTAACGACTCTTTTTTAAATGGTTTTGCTTCGTTATATGAGTTTCTCAGATAGTGGTTGAAGCATTAAAGATATTCAGTTTCCAACATTAAAGATATCAGTTTCACATAAATCTTTTAGTCTATATATTGAAAGAAAATGAAGAAGGATTTCATTGAAACAAAATGAAGTTCATCGGAGATGTGGAACTTCAAACTATTTTTCATGGAGATATTTGTGTTATGTTTATTTTCGTTGATCATGAGGTATTTTTTGTTTTTGTTATTTTATGTGTGGAGAACAATGCTCCAATATTTATAAAAAATGGGAACGTGTCTTTGTGATGCATGCTATTATTCGCATCGATCATAATATGTTATGCATATCTTGTTCATAACTAGAAGTGTCAGCCTTCCCCACATCTTCAGTATTCAACAAAAATGGGAATGGGTCCTTTGTGCTGCACACTTTTTCTCTGAAGGATATTGTAAGCGATGAGTGTTTCTTGAAAATAAGTGAAGAAAATCGTAAGAGAGCATCTATCAAATGCTCTAAAAATAACTTATTTTCACGAAAGACCCATATTTTACAATATCCTTCACTTGCTTTGATTCACAATCAAATTGTGAGGATCAACTCTTCTAGCTCTTGAGGTTCAGCCGCTGGTTCCTTCACTTGCTTACAAGAGCGTGGATTAACAGATCCTCAATATTCAACCAAAATGGGAACAATCCTTTTTGCAACACACTTTTTCTCTGATTCAACAAGAGAATTGGATCTTTCACTTTGTTTGGTGTTATATATTTCTTTGGTTTGTTTCCTCCTTCACAAGAGAACCGCAAAAAAACATATATCCAATGTTCACAGATACAACATTAAATTTAGCTTAAGGATTAACAGATATTCAATATTGAAAAAAAATGTAACATTTATTATTTTTCCATGTAACATTCATTTCAGTTTTCAATATATATAACATTCAATTTCAATTTCAGTTTATTGTGTATTTTGTACAATATCAATTTCAATTTCAATGTATATAACTGCCGTGTTCAACTTATGATGCACTGTTGAGAATGAAAAAAATTGATTTTGAATTGTTAGTTAATTTGTTTAAGTGATCAAAAAAATTTAGTCATTTTCGATAGCCACACAAATTAATTTTATACAGCGAAAAATTGAAATATCATGCGTATTTTTATGTTGGGATGTCGAAAATGCAACATATTCATTGAAATATCACAGCGAAATAATATGTTGTGCTGTCGAAATTGGAATTATTTTTTTAACGAAAATGAATTAATGTTACTAAGTCTTGTAATTAGTTTAATCATTTAACTATTTAAGTGAAAATACGACTTATTAACTTAAATGAATAATCAATAGCGAAAGTATATCACTACGCTGTGGAAATGTTCGGATTTATTAAAACTAGTTGTAACTTAATGCTATAGAAAGTAGTTATATCTTGTAGATGAAACTGTTTATGTATCATCTTCAACAACGTCGGGTTAAATTTCGCTGTTAACTGATACATATTTAACAGCGAAACATATAAGTCTAGTTGTTAATGTTTAAATTACTACAACGAATTTTATCGCTGCGTTGTGGATGAGAAACTTTAGACAACAAATTAAAATGCATTGCTGTTGAATATTGAAAATAATGAATGATCCACAGCGAAGTTAAGCGCATCGCTGTTAAAGATTGAAAAATATCTAAATGGAATATGTGTAATGATTCTTTTTTAAATGGTTTTGCTTTGTTATATGGGTTTCTCGGAGAGTGGTTGAAGCATTAAAAATATCAGTTTCCCATAAATCTTTTAGTCTATATATTGAAAGAAAATGAAGAAGGATTTTGTTGAGACAAAATGCTCTCTATTTTTCATGGATATCAGTTCACCGGAGATATGGAACTTCAAACTATTTTTCATGGAGATCTTTTTGTTATCTTTATTTTTCATGGAGGTATTTTGGATTTTGGTTATTTATTTATATTTTTTCATTTATATTTTGGTTATTGATATCAGTTTATGTTTGTAACAGGGGGAGAACAAATCTCCAATATTGAACAAAAATGGGAATGTGTCCTTTGTGATGAATGCTATTTTTCTCATCGATCATAATATCATGCATGTCTTGTTCATATCATGCATAACTAGAAAGTATCAGTCTGCCCCAGATCTTCAATAATTAACAAAAATGGGAACAGGTCCTTTGTGCTGGATACGTTCTTTGAAAGATGAGTGTTTCTTGAAAATAAGTGAAGAAAATCGTAAGAGAGCATCTATCAAATGCTCTAAAAATAACTTATTTTCAAGAAAGACTCATTTATCCTTCCTTTTGCAAGGAATAGAGCCAATATCTGGCGTTAAATCTTTCCTTGGTTTGTTTCCTCTTTCACAAGAGAACCGCAAAAAAACATCTATCCAATGTTCACATATACAACATTCAATTTAGCTTAAGGATTAACAGATCTTCAATATTGAAAAAAAAATGTAACATTTATTATTTTTCAATGTAACATTCATTTCAGTTTTCAATATATATAACATTCAATTTCAATTTCAGTTTATTGTGTATTTTGTACAATATCAATTTCAATGTATATAACTCTCGTGTTCAACTTATGATGCACTATTGAGAATGAAAAAAATTGATTTTGAATTGTTGTTAGTTAATTTGTTTAAGTGATCAAGAAATTTTAGTCATTTTCGACAGTCGCACAAATTCATTTTATACATCAAAAAATAGAAATATCACAGCGTATTTTTATGTTGGGTTGTTGAAAATGCAACATATTCGTTGAAATATCACAGCGAAATAATATGTTGTGTTGTCGAAATTGTAATTATTTTTTTAACTGAAAATGAATTATTTCAGTTTTCAATATATATAACATTCAATTTCCATTTCAATTTATTGTGTTTTATGTATAATTTCTATTTCAATATATATAACATTCAATTTCATTTTGTTCAACACTTCAACTTATAACTGACATGTTTTAAAAGAATGAAAATGTGAATCATCAACAGCGAAATAGTAAGTTAATCGTTTAGTTTAAATGAATAATCAATGCGAAAGTATATCACTTAAATGACTTTTCAACAGTGAAAATACGTTTTAATGAATAATCAACAGCGAAAGTATACCACTTCGCTGTGGAAATAGTCAGATTTATGTAAATAATTGAAAAAATGAATTTGAATATTAAGTTTAATTAAGGATATGTTCCATTAAGTCTTTGAGTCTCTTTTTCAAAAAAATAAAAGTAATTAGTTTAATCGTTTAAGTGAAAAATTAACTCAAAATGAATAATCAACAGCGAAAGTATATCACTGCGCTGTGGAAATGTTCATATTTTTTTAAATAATTGAAAAAAATTAATTTGAATAGTAAGTTTAATTAAGTGATTGGATATATGCAGTAAGTCTATGACATGATGAAATTTTTAGATGACACTGTTTATGTAACCTCTTCAACAGCGTCGGGTTAAATTTCACTGTAAACTTGTACGTATTTAACACTGAAACATATAAGTCTCGCTGTTAATGTTTAAATTACTACATCGAATTTTATTGCTGTGCTGTGGATGATAAACTTTAGACAGCGAAAATATGACGTTGCGCTATTGTATATGGAAATTAAAATATAAAAAAAATTGATACCCAAACGTTTGGTTACGTACTTCTCAAACTTCTAATACACAGAAAAGGAAACCCTTGAACACTCTCAAACCAAGAAACCCTTCAACACTCTCAAACTAAAAAACCCTTCATCAACACTCTCAAACCAAGAAACTCTTCAAACAATGTCTTCTCAAGATGAAGTAAACAAAGAATGAACAATGGTTAACACTCAAACTCCAATAACACAAACTCCAAAACCACAAACTCCATAACCCCAAACTCCACAAACACAAACTTAGATTAGTAAGCTACATTGGAGTTGTGGTTCGAGAAAATATATCCATAAAGTTCAAACATTGGTCTGATTAAAGGCTTAATACAACGAAAGATATTATTTGGAAGGATATAACCGTAAGTTTCCATGCAATCTGTATTCTTTGTGTTTTATTTGGAAGGATATTATTTTGTGTTTATGTAACAATGTATTTGTATTCCATGCAAACTATTTATGCAACTTTTAGGCAACTTTTGATGTATTTTTCTGTTTAGGCAACTTTTGATGGTTATGCATGAAAATGTTTATGAAACTATTCTCTATATTTAGGCAACTTTTGATGGTTATGCATGAAAATGTTTATGAAACTATTCTGTATATTTAGGCAACTTTTGATGTTGATGAGGAACACATATTACATCATGAAAAGAGCTAGCAAGGCTCTCCGAGAATTTAGAACCAATTGCGGGAAATGTCTCAGAGATGCTGAAGGCAATGTCAACCTCAAGCCTCTAGCCAAATATGCAAATCTCATTGATGAGGCGGATTGGATAGAATTTGTCAATTATCGCACACAAGACGAAAAATTCTTGGTAATATATAATGTTAATGTTGACTTTGAATTCTTATGCGCTTTTGTGTAATATATAATGTTAATGTTGTTTGTTTTTTCAGAAAATCAGTGAACAAAACTGTAAGAGAGCATCTAACCCGATTTATCCTTATAGAGCTTCTCGAATGGGCTATAGTGGAGTTGAAGAAAAAATTGTAAGTATTATTAATTCGTATGTAATTTAGTACATTAACTATTAATTGGTTAAGTTTTGTATTCATATATATTTAATAATTATTATTGGTTATGTATTTGCAGCTCGAACAAAGCGAGACACCTTCGAGTGCTGCCATAGACCTCGATGTTCTGTTGGTGGATGCTCAGAAGAACAAACAAGGTATTGTCGATAATGAAAAAGTTCAAGAAGTGGTGGACCGTGTTGTAAGTGCTTCTCATTTTATTAAACCGTGTTGATTTCCATACTTTCTTTATCAATGTGGTTATTTATGTGTTTTCTTGATGTCTCAGGTTACCCTAAAAGAAATGGAAAGTTTCCGTACCGCGAATAGCCATGTTATACTTGAAAAGGCATTAGGGCTGCCTCAGTACCCTGGCCGTATCCGATGTGCTAGATTTGGGGCTAGCAAACAGTTTTTGGCCCCTTCTGCAAAGCGTCTAACAAAAGCAAATGCAACTGTCTTGCAAGAACAATACGATTCACTCTCTGAACGATTCCAAGCAATGGAAATGCGGATGGAATCTGATAAATCTGTTGAGGGGCCTGAAGCTTCTACTATCGTGAAAGATAGTTTCACGCATCCAAGAAACCATATTCCCATTCCAAAGGTAATTTAATAAACTAATTTATTTTAACTATCATTCATGTTTTCACTATTGCTAAACTAATTCATTATATGTTTTAACTATCATCTAGGGAATAATTAATAATTTCAAACTCTTTCTGGATACACCATGTACCCGAGTAGTGGCAATTGGCATGGTGTACACCACACAGGATGCAATGATACATCATGCACAAATCCTCTCAAATCATTTGAAAGGGTAACACCCTAAATTTAAGTCTTTAAAATTATAGTATCAGTCATGGGATTCTCGCTTGAGCGAAGAATTCTCGCCTGGGCAAGAAAGGCTCACCTGGGAGGGTGAAATCCTGGGCTATATTGGAGGATTCTCGCCTGAGCGAGAGTTGGCTCGCTTGAGCGAGGGTGGTCTCGCCTGAGCGATAGTTGGCTCGCCTGGGCGAGAAAAGTGATGTTTTGGACCTGTCTAGGCTGTAAGATCTTCGTTTGAGCGAGAGGATCCTCGCTTGAGCGAGAGATGCCTCGCCTGGGCGAGAGGGTCAGATCTGAGTTTTTAAAATAGGTGGGATTTCCTCGCTTGAGCGAGAATGGGCTCGCTTAAGCGAGAACCCGACGTTGTTGCATTTATTAGGGACCCCCAAACACATTTATGGGGGATAACTTAAAGAAAAGTGAAGAGAGAAAGGGTTTCCAAGAACAAGGAGTCTTAGGAATCATCTAAGAGCTTGAGAAGAGGTAAAACTCTTGATTTTAACTCTCTTCTTCCCTTTGAAACTCATTTTGGGTATGATGGATCTCTTCTCAAAATATGAGAAACCATGGAAACTCACCCTTTTGATTTATGGTTCGTTTTATGTGGTTATTATCTTGTAAACTCTTGATTTAGATTTAGTATTTCAACAATGGAAAGGGTTTGTGGGTTGATTCATGAAAACCCCAAAACCCTAAAGTGAAAATGTGGTTAAAGTGGAAAATGGGTAAAATGCTAGAGGTAGAAGATGATTAAACCTTCCAATGTTGAAATATGAGATGGATATGTATGTTTTAGATGGTTGTAAACTTATGATGAAAGTAGTTTAGAAACATTGAAAATATGATGAATATCTCGTATGGTTGAATAATGCAATATAAGTTGTTTATGTGATATTTGAAATAAATGACTTATATTATTGTTATGTGATGGGGATAATGAAAGATCCTAAGATTGGAGGAGGTAGCGAATGAACTTGCAAAGTTACCCAAAACCAACCCCGACACATACCGAGGTAAGGATAAGTCATTAATGGTATATGATAATAGAAAATGTGTGGATTTTATGATTACATATAAGGGATGTGTATGACTTGCCTGATGTAGTATTGAGAATGGCTTGTCCTATGTGGCATTATGTATGACTTGCCCTATGTGGTATTGTGTATGACTTGCCCTATGTGGTATTGTGTATGACTTGCCCTACGTGGTATTGTGTATGACTTGCCCTATGTGGTATTGTGTATGACTTGCCCTATGTGGTATTGTGTATGACTTGCCCTATGTGGTATTGTGTATGACTTTCCCTATGTGGTATTGTGTATGACTTGCCCTATGTGGTATTGAGAAGGTAAATGTATATGTGGAAGGTAACAATATGAGGTGGTATTGAAGAATAAGATGACTAGGTATGGTAAAGATGAACGTATAGATCCAATGTGATGGATGGGATTGTATGAGACAGACAAATATGATATGTTGATTTTATCTTTTAACGTCAAGTCGTTTATTTAAACCTTTAAAAATATGGATTATCGCTTAATGATATTTATTGAATTAATGATTTACTCCTTTGTTTGTTGTGTATATCTGCCATGATAATCCCATTGCAGGTAAATGGGATAGTTGAGGACGCTCGGTTCGAGGCATTAGGAGCTTAGAACCTGGAATCCTTGTTTTGCTTTTTGATTGATGTAACCCATTACTTGGGTGATTGTAAATCCTAACTGATTTAGTTTTACATTTTTGTAATGTTGGATATTCATAGCTATGAGTATTTTGGAATCCCATAGCTAGTCATATACGGTAATTACCAAGAGGCAAATATATGAATTATGTTTTTTCTATCTATTGGAAAAGGGTCTTAGTATGGTACGATAACTAAAATTTAAGTAACGAAAATTGACTTATTATAGTGTAGTGGAGTTGTAGTAATAACTGGATTAAAATAAGAAAATTTTTTCAAGGGTAGAATTTGGGTCCTTACAGAAAGTCTCAATTGATATTTCAATTGAAGATGATGCATTGTTGCCAATTCCTATTGATGATGATATCATAATAGTTGGATTGGCTGTAGCCACTTTTGTGGCTTGGCCAAAACATCTTATAGATGTAGTTCCTATTATGGTATGGTTTTCACCATTAATTTACACATTTTGATGTAGTTCCTATTAAATATTTTAGGGAAAGGTGTCTGTTGATGACCATAGTGCAACATTCCCTCCCATAATAGATGAACTTGCATCTAAAAAGGCCAAAGTGGTGAAGTCTAAGCCATAGTCAAATCTAGAATTGCCAGGGGAGGTGGGCCCCCCGTAAACCAAGTACTTTGAAATACTTTGGGATTATGTACAGAACTCACCTGCCATTTCTACGATTAAGATATCATATCCTGAACCCATCTATGGGTTTTCTACCGATGAATTCATAGGTATAAATGAAGTGAATGATGTACACGATCGTGATTGGATCGGTGCATCCGTTATATCTGTGTATATAAGATAAACTTCTCATTTTCGCATTTAATCATTAATTGGTGTATTATAATTAACTAATGTTTGTGTTATATGTTAGGTACTTGTATGACAAGTTTGTACCCAATAGTAAAAAGAAGGTGATGTTCATATCCCTTTATACTAACATTTTGGGTGTGGGTATGGTAACCAATGACACAAGGAAGAAACAACAGTCACAAGAGGTTGCTAACACTCTTGAGAAATATAAAGAAAATGCCGACTTATTTCTTGCACCTCTTAACACCAGGTAAGCATCATTTTTAATTGTTTTTAACAATGTTTTTGCTTAACATTTTATTAACCATGTGCATATATTTTTTAGGGAACATTGGATTTTGGTTGTCATTAATCAGGTCAGCCATCAATTGTTCTATTTTGATTAACTAAAAAATGGCGATCTGAAAAAGTACCCCAATATGATAGATATTTTTACTTGGTAAGTGAACAACTCATTTAAATTTTCTGAATTTTGTTACACTTTCATTATCACTTTCATTTAAACATTATTTTCTATATTGTTTAGGGCATTGAATTTATATAGAGGCCTACACACTAAACGTCAAAAACCCGTCAGCTGGACTCATGTTAAGGTATTGGCACTACCCATCAAAAAATTATATGCATTATTTCATTATCACTTATATTTACCTGATTTTATTTGTAGACCCCTTGCCAAAACAATAACATTGATTATGGCTTTTATGTCATTAACTTCATGAAGGAGGTCATTAGACAAGGCAAAGCTGAATTCAAGTTTAATGTAGATACATATACACCTGACCAAATCGATATGAATAGGGAAATTTGGTCAAAATTTGTTTATTCATAAAATTTGTAATATACAAATTAAGGTTCTTTTAAATATAAGGCATTTTGTGTTTTGATAATTTGTTGTGTTTCAGTTATTTGATGTTTACTTAACTGTTTTGGTCCAATGCATTTTGTGTTTTGATAATTTGTCTCAGTTATTTGATGTTTGCTTAAGCTTAATTGTTTAGATTTAGGAAGCATGCAATTCAACAGCGAAAACTATTCATTCGCTGTATAATTAATAACTTCAATAGCGTAGTGTTCTAATTTCGCTGTATAATTAATAACTTCCACAGCGTAGTCATATACTTCCGCTGTGGAAGAGAAGATTCAATTAACAACAATTCACCAGCTCCTGATATCTTCAACAGCGTAGTGTTCTAATTTCGCTATATGATTAATAACTTCCACAGTGTAGTGATATACTTTCGCTGTGGAATGGATAATTACCACATCAAAGTAATATACTTCCGTTGTGGAAGAGAAGATCCTAAGTTCCTAACAACAAACAAGTAACAAGTAACAACAAACTCCTCATATCTTCAACAGCGAAGTGTTTTACTTTCGCCGCGGCATTTTTACCTTCCATAGCGTTAACTAAAGATTTCGTTGTTGAAGGCTTATCAAAATAAAACTTAAAATTATTCCTCATTCGAAAACCTCTTTTACACTAACTATTTTTCTCAACAGCAGCTAGCGAAACTGAAAACCTCAAAATCATTCAATCATTCACACATTCAACATCGAAAATCATTCACACATTCAACATCGAAAAGCATTCACGCATTGAACCTCAAAATCATTTAACCCAAAATCATTCATGCATTCAACATCAAAAAAAATTTCTCTCATTCAACCCCGAAAGTTCACTAATTCTGCACCGAATTGAAAGTGAGTAAATACTTGTTTATATTGAGTTAGATTTCATCTTTATTACATGAGTTATTATATGCCCGAATTCATTTAGATTGTATTTAGTTAGGGTTCCTCATTTAGCTTGTATTACATGAGTTAGAATTTTTCCTAATAATGTTTTTGCTTGCTATGTGAAATTAAATTAATGTTTTAGAGATTTATGTTTCCCCGAAATCAAATTTCAATCATAAAATTTAGATTGTATTTAGTTAGGGTTCCTCACTTAGCTTGTTTTACTAGAGTTAGCTTGTAA